CCAGGACTCCATCTTTTCTGACTCTTTCCACTGGGCTTAGTACTCTGAGAGTACTGCATCGCTTTTATTGCTGAGTAGTGTTTCATGGTCTGGCTATATCATGATTTGTTTATTTTTTTATCTTGGGCTGTTTTCAATGTTTCATTAAAAATAACGCTGCTATGAATAGTTATATAAAAGCTTTTCTGTAAATATATGTTTTTATCTCTCCAGGATAAACACCTAGATTTTATATCATCTGATTTCATTAAACAATGATACTCATGTGTTTTCTCTTTGCATTTTTCTGTAAAAATCTTAAATACAAAGGACTGTAGTCTACATCAAATGTTCAAATGCTGGAAACCACCAGTGAACATTATTGGATTCTATGACATAACATTTGGATGTACTAGCAAGGTTAAAGGCACTCCCCAGAATCATGTTTCAAAACTGCCAACTTAAGGGCTGCTTCCAAAATTTGTTACTTCTTGAAACAAAGTTCTCAGGATTTTTACAAGTTGTTCCAGTGTGTATGCATAAATGTATTTTTATTGGTAGGAATGTCTCACTGTGAGCAGCAGTCAGGGTGATGGGCACAACTTACCACATGGCGCCAGTGATGAGCAAGACCCAGTGATGAGCAAGACTGGCTGCTTGGACCATGACCCCTTGCATCCCACCTGTTCCTGTTCTGGTCTGGAGAAGCTCACCTGTGACTTCATGTGTCACTGGCTGTGCTCTTGCCTTTGACTTGTTGCTAGTGAATTCCTCTGAACGAGGAATGCCCATACTGACTGTCAAAACTTTAATTCTTGGAAATTTCCTGATTTCTTGATTGACTTTTCTCATGATTCGGAATAACAAACAAATGACCCTTAGGAAAGGCTAGGCGGGAATTCCTGCCTGGAGACACCACTGGAAGCCAGATGATCACAACGTGTGGCTGTACTTCCTGACCCTCTGTGTTGCTGTCAGTCTGTCTTTCCTTAGGCCAGCACTGGGCTGTCTTTATCACTGCAGCTTTACAATGAGTCTTAAAGACAGGCAGAGGGAGTCCTTTCACTGGCTGGGAGGTTCATGCTGCTGGATAAAGTAACAGTCACATTTCACTTTTGGGACCCCTCAGTTTACAGAATTCTCTCATTTCTAGCTGAACAAGCATTGACCATTTTAAGCTGAACAAGCATTTGCATTGCCTCTGCAGAAAAGAGACCTCACCATAGAAGAGGTGACTTCTCCCAGGTTGTGAAGCTGGTCAGGCAGCTCTGAGATGGCAATCCAAGCCCAGGGCTCCTGGAGCTGATTTACAGCCTCCTCACGGGCCATCCTGCCAGGGCAGTGCAGGTCTCAACTGAACAGGGACCCCTGGTGGAGCCTGCAGCACTCACCTGCAGCACTCACCTGCCACACTGCCTGCCTTTCTTCTGCACTCCTGTGTCTGTGCTGCTTGCTTATTTTCTCACTTGCTTATTCCCTTTCTCCACCTCTACAATATAAGTTCCACAAGAGCAGGATCTTATGTCCCTGGCATTCTCAGCACCTGGCACAGAGCCTGGCAGATAGTCAGTCCTCTGCCAAGGTTTGTTGGGTGGATGAAGTAAATGAAATAAGTACATGCTCTTCCCAAAAAACGATAAGGCAAGTGACAAATGCCAAATTGCTTCATTTGTCCTGAATGATATATATTAACATGATTTTCATTCCATCATAAAGGCAACACACTTCTCAGCTGGGCTGGATAAAAATACAATCTCTACTAGATGTAGCAGAGGGAATGCAGGAATGCCACACTGTCAAACCACCTCACCCAGCAAAAGGAACTGGAAAAATGTGGGTAGGTGGGAACTAGACCATGCCTTCCTATTGTGTTCACACACTCACACACTGGATTCAAATGCCACGAGCATGACTGTGTCTGTGTTTTAGGGCATGATCTGGGTAGAAGGAGGCGGAAGCTGGACAGTTAAGACTTGATCCAGATGCCAACCCCTCAAGAGATTGCCAATAAACTATGATTTTTATTTCTTTATTTTAATTTATTTTTAGTTGTAGTTGGACACAATACCTTTATTTTATTTATATGTTTTTATGTGGTGCTGAGGATCGAACCCAGGGCCTCGCACATGCTAGGCGGCACATGCTAGGCGAGTGCTCTACTGCTGAGCCACAATCCCAGCCCCTATGATTTGTATTTCTAATAAAGAATTTCAGGGGCTGGGGTTGTGGCTCAGCAGTAGAGTGCTCACCCAGCACATATAAGGCACTGGGTTCTATCCTCAGCATCACATAAAAACATATAAATAAAATAAAGGTATTGTGTCCAACTACAACTAAAAAAATATTTAAAAGGGAATTTAGTTTGAAAAGCAATGTTATCTTAGGTATGTCTTTGAGATAATTGCCAGTAACAAATGACATCTGTGGAATGGAAGTACACATCTGAGACAGAGAGAGAGAGAGAAAGAGAGAGAGGGAGGACAAACACAAGAACTCGTTAGGTGAATACATGCCCTGACCTACACATAAAGCATATTGTAAACATGAGTTTGGCTTAAGCAAGAGAAGAACTGGTTCAGTGCTACAAAAACTGATGGCATTCAATTAGAAATACTTTTCATAAGTACTTGGTTTGAATATTTTAAACATCTTCTCCTTAACTAGCTTTGAAAATTAATTGATAGTGAACATGAAAGATATTACTTTGATACTAATTTCTAAATTAAAAACATACTCTTAATATTTGGAACACCTGAAATTTTCAGAGAGAAGAATGAAATTTACTTTTCCACTAAAATTTACCTTTGACTTCAATGAAAGGACTTAGTAATCAAATCAGTAATGTAATCAAAGCTATAGGAAGAACAATAAAATAAGTCCCTTTCCCCCATAACAGAAGTGAAACATTTCAGAAAATAAACTCCTTTTTAAAAACATTGGGCTGGCACTGTAGCTCAGTGATAGAGCACTTGTTGGGCACAGTGCCACAAAAACCGAACAAAACAATCCACTATTTTAGACATGATCAACTGAGCACAACCTCTATCTGTGAAGAGAGGATCACACCTGCTGAGGCAGAGAACAGGAGAGGGAGCATCAGGAGGGGTGTCAGCTTATCCAGACTCTCTTTGGACAGGAAAAGCAGGGAGAAGTGCCAAAGAATCGTGGATAGAGGAGGAAACAGAAATCTAAGTGTCCTACTGATGGCCAATTTACCAGATAGAGCCCTGCAAATGACAGGCCCCAGATTCCTGAAAGTAGGAGGTGATAAGGGCTGGGGCCTTATATAAAGTAATTTACAAAAATATATTAGAAATAATAAGTGGGTTTAGAGAGGTCCGAGGTACATGGTCAACAGAACAATCTGCAGAGAAAATATGTCATTTCAAAGCCAGCTCCTCATCGCATCACCCTGTATAGAAAGACCATCAGTAGGACCCACCTCTATCCATGACGTGAGAGCAAAAGGGACAGGGATGAAAAACACTGTAAAGTTCTTAACTCTCCTAGGAAGGGGTGTAACCCCACTTGAGGAACACTACACAGGTTAAAGGTACACACTACACACTCCTAATCAATTCCAATCCAAATCCTGCCAAGCTCTCTTGTATAAACTGGCAAGCTGAGTACAAGGTCACAGGGAAATGCAAGGATCTAGAAGAGCCAGAACAATTCTGGGGGCTGGAGTGGGGGCAGAAAAGACAAACAGCAGGAAGCTGGCGAAGGTGGCCCGGGGTGGGTGGGTGTGATAGAACCAAATCTTGTCTACCATACTTGCAAGCCACCAGATAAACAGAAAAATCAAGAAGCAGCAGTAATTTATTATTTGAAAAAATAAGTTAAATATGCAAAAGAAATAACTGAAAGTGGTTGCATCTGGGGAACAAGACAGGACTAGCAGGGGACTGCTGTTTTTATTATAAAATTTAAGAAAATTATTTGGCTTTCAAAAACAATGTTCCTATATTTCACTGAAAATATTTTAAAAGGAAATAATGTCAAGGACTAATATGAAGAGTCACTAAATATATGAAAAACCACTATGCCAA